GTAAGTCGACGTGAATCTTGGAGTAAAGATTTGTTTCGATGATCCGAGGAATTTGAGACAAAGCTGAAGTCTGAGGCTGCTTTTACCATAAATTTTCTTTATCTCAATTTTTTTATTTATTTTATTTGTATATTTAATTTTTATCTCATTATACTTCTTTAAATAATTTAAAACCCCTTTTATCTTTATTATTATTTTTACATAATTATTTATTATTTTATTATTCTCTTTATTTATTTTATTATATATTTTCAATTTCATCTGGAATTCTATCTTCTTATGAAATCAAGAAAGAATTTTACTAAATCAGAAACACCACAGTCCCTGTGGATCGACCATGCGTCTCTATACTACTTTTCCTTTCTATTTATTAAGAAGCCGAAATTATTTTGATAGCAAAACGACGGTTATCAGTTGCCCTGACAAAGCCTAAAATGGAGTTTCAAGGAATGACCTAGTTGGGTTCTCGAAAACAATTCGGCAGAAAAAAAAATGCTAAAATCATCCCAAAAATCATCTCTCCTATTTGTTTTTCTATTCTCTCACTTTTTAATATTTTGAAAATTTTAAAGAATTCTATTTGTTGTAATATTTTGTTGATAATGAAATTATCATCCGTTGATGATAGTTAAGGAGCAGACGATATTTTGTTAAACCTCTTAAATGCGGTGCATTCTCTCCATTATTTATTTTTTATATTCATTATTGAATTTTTTATTGTGTTTTAATATTAAATAGTTTGACGGGTTTATGAACTATGCAAATTTTAATAGTTTTGAGACTACAATCATTATAATTATAGTTATTTTCATTATATTAGTATAATCATATCAATAACTTTCTATAATAAAAATAAATATAGAAAATATTAATTTAAAATATAAAATTTATTTATGTCAAATTCAATTTATTAGATTTTTCTCAATGATTTAAGTGTTTTCATGCTCCCCAGATATTTGAATCTTCTCTTGGTTACTTTTATTTCTTTTCTGTCATTAACTACCTATAAGATATATATAAAATCTTGTAATATAGAAATTAAATATGGGATTTGACACAGTGATTAGAGCATTCTTATTCTCCCGAAGGTCCTAGATTCAAGTCCTTTCTAATTATTTTCACAAATTTAACACGTGTCGTTATTGAATTAGATAGATAAATTTATTGAATTAAATTAAAAAAGATCAATTTAATAAAATGTATAAGTAATGAAGGATCAAATGTATAGTTATATCAATTTTATTAGTTATCACGAGAACTCTTTCATCAAATGGTAATGATATGTGATTTAAGTAGATAACAAATCATGTAGTTTACCATATTTTAAAATAAGAAATATTGAAGGAAATAATTGAAATTGAAAAGAAAAAGAAAAGAATACGGGGAGATATAAAAAAATTAGATAACAAATCACTTTCACATTATCCTCTCCTTTCCATTTTAATTGACATTTTATCCCCACTCATTCTCTTATCGTTTTCTCATATTATAACTGAAAAATTACAAACGTTGATTGCTAAACCAATTAAATTTCTTTAAGTTAACAAATCATGGTTTAATTATGAATTTATTTGTTTTTGGTCACTAACCTTTAATTTAAGTTTTTCGGACATGATGATTAAAGTTGTCTGGATATATAAGCTTCACAAAGATAATTGTTATGTTAGTTACAATATTCGCCGTTAAAAAATTAACAGAATTATTGTACGTCGTATTTTTATAGATAATTCACATTATTTATCATTAAACTATCTTCTCACTTTTATTTTTATCACTAAATTTAAAAAATTCAATTTAAGTACTCAACTTTCAAATTACTCATATTTTAATCACTCCAATTTATTTCATTAATAATTTTTGTGACATGATATTTATTATTATTATTATTTTATTAATATATTATTAAAATAAAAAAATCGGAAGTTAAAGTGATTAAATTAGAAGTAATTTAAAAGCTAAGTAATTAAATTAAAAATTTAAACTTTAATTACAAAAATAAGATTGAGAATATAATTAAGTGATTAATGACATAATTTACCCATTTAAAAGTTCTACGTACAACACTTCTATTAGGTTTTAATGACAAGGTACTAAAACGAAACAAAAGGTAAAATGTTAGGTATAATTTTGAAAAAAAATAAAAGTTTAAGTACCAAAATGAGACAAAAATAATAGGTACTAAACGTGTAAATTACCTGTACAAAAAAGGAAAATTATTTCAGATAACTTCTAACTTTAAGCGTTGACTAGTTTATATCTTCAAACTTTTAGTTTTATTAATTTTAACACTAACATTTATTTTTAAATGCAATTATACTACTTCACTATCAAATATTTAATGAGACGATGACACAATAATTGTGAGCCGTGATGTTATTGATGTGATTATTTTACCAAAATAACGTCATTTTAGTGCGATCTTTTTAATTTTCTAAATCATATTATTTTGTTAAATGAAAAAAAAAATTCCATAAAATTCAAACCATATATCTTTAAGAACTAATGCTAAACAACAACCACCATGTCATCATTTTCTCTTCTGTTTTGAAAATCGGGCCGGATCGGCCGGTTCAATCGGGAATCGTTGTTTAGTCCGGTTCAATTTAAATCGGTTGAACCGTTATTAGTAAACCGGCCAGAACCGCTGAACCGTTCGAACCGGACTGGCTGAAAACCGGAAAAAATCGGGAAAAACCGGGATTTTTGTTTTTAAAAAAAAAAATTAAACCAAACAACGTCGTTTGTTAAACGAGCCAAGTCGAACTCGAGTATTGCTGAGCTCGACTCGAACTTGAAAACTTTAAAAGTAAGCTCAACTCAACTCAAACTCACAAGCTAAAAATTATCAAGTTCAACTAAAACTCGAAATATTATATTAAAACTTGAACTCAAAAATAAATTTGAAGCTCGATTGAAGCCTAAAATTCGAGCTTGATTGAAGTGAAAGAATAGTTCACTCAATGCTCACCAAAAGGCTCCATGATTTTGAATGCCAAATTACCTCTATTATTTATAGAAGTTAGTTGTGATGCGCTTCTATGTTTCTTAGCAATGTGAGATTGTTTTGTTCTCATATTTTTACTCTTTAGACTTTTGGGATGCTCTTCTATGTTTCTTAGTCATGTGGGATTGTTTTTAAAAAAAAATTAAACAAAACAATATCATTTTGTTATGCTTTTTTTAACCTCAAATTTATTTTTTAATTATAGTTATATAATTATATTTATTATTTAATATGTTTTACCTTAAATATTATGTTAGAGTTAATTTGAATCATTTTGTTTCACTTAATTTTATGGTTTTTAACTTATATATGTTATGATTTGCTTTGAATATAACTTGTGATATAAAAAATTATTTTTTATTAAATATTTTTTATATTTTTATTTAATTTTTTAATTAATTATGACATCGTCCGGTTCTTTCGACCGATCGAACTAGTAAACCGATAGTATGACCGATTCACTAACCGGTCCGATTCTGAAAATCATGATTTTCTCTTACTTTCCGGGTATTTTTCTTCAATCGTCTTCAACAATCTTTCTTTTTTACATTACGAAAAATATCGAATATGTTCTCGAAATTCTTCCCTCTCTGCTTCACAGACCTTAAATCAATGGATGAATCAGTGGATGGCTTCAACAACTTCAACCAACTTTGTGAAATCCCTTCTTCATCATCTTCAACCTCCGACAAGTCCCTTTGACACCTTCCACTCGCGCTGCCACCACGACCGAGTACTCGGAATCTGACTTGATTCCAGATTTCGCCACCATATGCACTTCCCAACGTTTCTTCCTCTCTTCGTCGGGACAATCCAACTCCATCATCGAGTCACTCGATACAATGCCCAAACCCGAGACTAAAAAACCGGCACCGGCGGTGCATGGAAGGTTGCGGTGAAAAAGTACTCGCCAGACCCGTACAAAGATTTTCCAGTCTCGATACAAGAAATGATCGAAGAGAGAAACTTAACCAATGTGAACAAGGACTGGGAGTTCTTGCATGAACCACTCCTTTGTTACCTTACTTTAAACCCCGAAAACACCCATAAGTTCATCATTAGTGCTTTCACCGGTATTGTTGTTTGCTTTATGTGGTCGTCATCGAGGGCGGAACAAGAATGAAATTATAAGAGGGTCAAGTTGGTTTTAAAAGGTAATTAAACCACAAAAATAGAGAATTAGAACTTAATTTCATTATTTTTAAAACCTTCGTATCTTAAAAAGTAATTAAATCATAAAAGTTAGAGGTAACACTTAATTTCATTTAACTTTAAAATTGATAATATTTTAAAAAATTTAAATTAGAAAATTTTGTAAGGGATCATGACATAGTTTTAATGGTTTCAAAACTTTCAAGGACTTAAAATACAATTAAACTATAAAAATTGGTGTGGGCCATATATCATTCCGCTCTCATGTGGTACCGTCACTGGTCGTCATTACCAGAATCTCATACATCAACAAACCACGGCCGATGATACTCTCTTTTTATCCTTTTTCATTTTCACCATAATCCTACAAAATTCTTAAACAATATCAAATAAATGATATTAATCCAAAATAACGTTGTTTTGAACTTCTTAAGCATCAAAACACTCGCGTCAAAATAATGTCATTTTGATGAGATAACCACGTCATCTACGTCACGATGTCATTTGCCATGTCATCAACCATTTTCATTATTTAATTGCACTTAAAATTAAATACTAGTGTTAAAATTAATAAATTAAAAGCTTGATGGTATAAATGAATCAGCACTTAAAATTTGATGATATTTGAAGTAATTTTCCCTAAATAAATTGTATAATCAAACTTCCAAATTCGAAAATAAAGAGATTTGATATCTTTCTTGTGGCTTACAAAGAGTGTAATTTCCTCATCCCATTCCAAGTCAAACGCATGCTTCAACAAGTAATAAAGATTAGGAGCACAAATATCCTGTAAATTAAGATTAAGGGGAAGACAAGCAAAGAAGCAATTCTCCGAAGTCCAAGCTTCACAATTCAAACATTTATTTTTAAACAAACAAGGGATAACAAGTTTTTCCCATGATGGACATGCATAAGCTACCATTATTCTATACAGTTCATGATGTCTGTAATAATACCCATACATGGACATTGATGGTCGGTCTTTTTCTCAAGCCAGGAATTTTTCCAGTAAGTTCCCAAAGAAGAAGCTTGTTTTAGCCCATCCACTGGTCTCTGCCTCCTGTGCTTTCGTACTTTCCGGGTCCTTCTTCACGTTAAGCATCATCTTGTGACCGATTTCTTTGCGAAGTGCGTCGATTGTCTTGGCATCGACCGGGTTCCCATATGCATCTCTCACGTAGAATACGTTCACAGCTTTCTCCCCTACCGTTGAGACCCCTGCTCTTCTAACGGATAATCCGTTCTCTCGGAGAATCCTTGTTACTTCGGACAACAAACCACATCTGTCCTTGGCGCAAAGCTCCAGGCTTAGACCCTGCATTGGTTAAATGGATCTTAAATGACACAAAACTAAATCTCTCCTCAAGTTTGTGGTATAGTGTGCAGAGCAGCATATATGTAATCCTCAATAGCAAAAAATAGTTTGTGGAATTCGTGTTGAATTCGGACTACAAATCGTAAAGATGTCATGATCCTAGTTGTTCCATGTCCGCTAGACTGCTCTGAAGTGGAATGTGGATGAAAGTTGCAGAAAATAGACACTAAAAAAACAATATACTCTATTGAAGCAGTTATATAGCTTTGGTTTCCCAGTGAATCACATTCTTCTGCATGTAATTTCGGAGTAAGAAAACATTAGGGTCCCGCATTAGAGGAACATCTACAGCATTTTAACAGTTCAGATTCGAAATTCGTAGAATGTGATGCACAAGAGATGTTTAGAAACAAGATTTTATCTAAAACCAGAGCTTACTTTTAAGTCACGCAAAAATGATTAATGGCTTAGCATGAACGGAATATTTCAGTTCGATATACACGACTCACCTCGCTTACTCTTCTATGAATGGCGGCTTCGAGACATTTAATGACCCTTTCTTTCTCTTCTTCAGTATCAAGTGTGCAACCATCCATGTGCCGAATAAAATATTCCTACAATTTGAATGACAATAAGATAATTTACTTGCATATAACCCTATCTGATACAATTTCAGAGGGAAAGTACTTCAGATTCTTTCCAAATGGCTATGACAAATGATGGATTTACCTGTGAAGCATGGGGACCATTGGATGAGATGTTAGCATGAAAAACTACATATTGCATGTCCGTGAGTGTGCAGACAATGTCAAACATGAGCTTAGCTCGATCTTTGCACTGGACGGTAACAACCGAGTACCCTTTCTCCTCACAACGCTCGACTGAGATCTTTGGTTTGAAGGATGGAGGATAGTTAACCTCAGTTGACACTCCACCACCTTCATAATCCCTATCTGCAAACAGCATTTGATGAAGCCGACGATCGATATGTGTGAATCCCATGGAGAAGCTGGTACGTGCAACATTGTCATCGTCCTCACAACCACGTAGGATGTGCTTAAGCTGCTCCTCCATAATAGACAGTCTGTTCGGATCATCCACAGCCCCGCTCGTGGTATCGTCATTGACATAGAGTACACATGCTATTCGTCTATTATGTGTCCATACTTCTGCAACAGTGACATTGAAGTGAAGGTTGGCAAGGACTGCCGAGATCTCCGATAAGAGACCAGGCCTGTCCCTTCCAATGAGTTCTATTGCCGTGTGATTACCAAAAGAGTGAACCCCAACACGTTTTCCGGGGCAATTTTTCATCCCATCCACAGTGTGCCCCTTAGGTCCTAGAACCTATTAAAAGAAAAATGTATGTAGATGTTACTCGGCTATAGATGCATAACATGGAAGTAGGCCTCATGAAGAGCAGAGAGAGCAAAATTCATCATTTTACGAGCAGCATAATTCATCGAAAACAGAAGATAAGTTCGAGGGGAAAAGATACGGCATACCCTCTCTATGTAATCAATGGTTTTTACATCGGTGATCTTTTTCCCTTGTTGATCCGTGACGTGAAACACTGTTTGCAAAGAATAAAAACTATATATATCAAGTACAACGGTAACAGATACAAGATTATCAGGAAAGGAATGTGATGCCATTGTCCTGCTGCAGCTATAACTATATAAGTCGATGCTTATCGAGAACTGATCGGTTCGGAAATAAAAATAAGAATTAAACCACATTCTGTTTTATAATACAGGAACAAAGTTCTACAGCCTAACATAAACGAAACAATAAATATATGCACACATATATAGCGTTATCATACCATCCATGAACCATCCACCATCAGAGGAGACGTAAGCTTTGATAATAATGAAGTCGAGGTCTGTTAGTATTTGCACAACTTCCAGCAGTATTCCGGGTTTATTCACGCTGTCAACCTATACGTAAATATTGAATTAGCTTTCGGCACTAAAAATGTTTGATTTCGCACATGCAAGTTCAAAAGCTAGTTAGACATAAGATCTGTTTTGTATTGAGAATTTACCTTTACAATAGTACAGTCACTGCAACTCGTGTTATCGACGGACACCCTACCGGAAAAGGTACGAGAGACAGAGTTACAACTATACAAAGATGTTCACTGCTAAATGTGTCTGAAACTCTTCTCAAATGGTCAGTGTCTGTCCTTTGGTATGAATAAAAGAAAACCCCTTATACCACGGAAATACAGATCGGTAACATAAAATTTTATTGATATGCATATTTTTGCAAACTGTAAATTCAAGGAACTATAGTGATTCAACCATCAAGGTGATTGAATGTAGTTGCTTACTCTGGAACAAAAATTGATAGTGGATCTTAAAAAAAAAGCATGTGGATAAAGAGACTGAACCTTGGAGGATTGATTCTGACACTCAGGTTCTCATACTCGGGATCGAAGTATGGCCAACAAACTTTAGCCATTTAAACCGCAGCTTCACGATAATCTGGAGGCGTTTTTCGGTCTGTGTCAGAGAAGACATAATCTTAGTTACCAGGTGATATACATTAAACTATCTATGTAAACAAAGAATCATTCATGTTTTCTCCTCCAAGGTCGATATCGACTTAAGCATGTAGATACGAGATATTCGTGCAACGACTATCAACATATGAAGTATATATGTAATTGACTAAAAGTATTCCCTCCACAGAGTGCACTCTAGCATTGCAAGCCATCCGAAAATGGAGGAGAACATCATGAATGAATTAGCTTCACAAGTTCTATATCAAATGGCACATAATCAATGAGCCGAAAAAGGAGCTGTAAATTACAATGACGGAGAGTATACGAGAGGAAGAGAACTACCGTTTCCGAAGAAAACAAGAAAGGTCTTCTTTGATGATTTAGCTTGTAGTTAAAGTTGCCTGAAATGGCAAATCCCAGGTTGATGGAAGTCAGGTTCACATTATGGCAACAAGTATCTGCAAACAAAGTGGAGGAAAAACTTATTAATATACAAAGCTAAGGCAAACCTCACAAGACCTACAATTCGAAATCAGTTTAGTATCATTATATGGACTTATATCTACGCATATGATCATGAAAGATGACTGTAAAACTTCATAGAAGAAAGATCATTAAAGAAAACAATACAGGCTATGCACCAAAGGTACTTCATACCAAACAAGCTCAACTATGTCGATTGTAACATCGGTCTGCAAGGTTAATTTTAACTTGTTCGATTGTAACATCGGTCTGCAACGGTACATATACCTTACCTTTCAACTTAAAGATCAATCCCTCTAAGATTTTAAACCCAGAATAAATCATAGAACAGAATATAGTGCATTCCTTTCGAATCCTAGTTTTAAATTTTAGATACCTTTCAACTTTCATTCCTCCCTACGAAAATGCTTAGTTTTCGATATAGTTGGTTCGGTTTTGGCACCATTTTAGTACAGTAGGAAAGGATGAAATTGAACCGAAATCAAAAGTACTATATGATTAGAATTAACACTAACAAAGAAAAGATAAGAACAGAATTGACCAAAACACCTATGAATTGGCAAAGGATTTGATTCTTAACGTTTACTCTTTCTTTTTTCCCTATCATCTGTATCAGAAACAGTGCATAAGCAACCATTAAAATTCACTACCAGCAGCATCACCTCCGTCTGATCCTAATTATGTTTTCACAACCATCAATTCTTCAGAAAAACAAAAAGTTAATAATACTAAAAGTTAATAGGTTTATAGGAATTTACTAAAGTTAATTAGTCATTATCAACATATTAATCCCAGAAAGCTGAATATTCCTGTATCCGAGTTGTATCTCAGAGTGAAACCTGCAAATTCTGAGTAGAAACACACATTTTTCTTAGCTAGAAAATGAAAAGAAACATGAAAGAATAAATGGTCACTCCAAGTAACGAAAAGCCAACACAGAAAGAAAGACAGATTATAGTCATATGTAGCTCGAAACAAGAACCCCGGGCAGAAAAAGAAGGAATTGGTCAGAATACACATGTAAAGGAGAGATGTTAAGGAAAAGAAGTGCTGATTACCTTTGAAAAGTAACCCTTTAAGTTATACAGCTTTGCTTCTTCTTCTTCTTGTTCACATTCTATGTTGGAAACAGAAGGAAAAGGCAAAGAGAAAACTTTGTTGTTCTTCGTGCTGGTGAACGAATGAATCTTCTAAAAGAGAGAGAGAGAGAGATTCTATGCTTTTCTACGTTGGAATACCACTTTCATAGAGCCATGCGTTACTTTCTAATACGTTTCAACCAAAAAATGATTTTCTTTTTATTTAAATTTTTACTTTGGTTTGAGGAGATGAAGTGAAAAAGATGGAGAGACAGTGGAGAGTGGCGTTGGGGACTAATTGTTAATTAACTCGGTACTGAATTGGCCACCAAACCTGAGTAGTGCGCGTGAGGAAGAAGAGAAGAGGCGCGTGAGTTGAATAGCATACTGCCACTTTGGCAGTGGGTATTATTGTGGCCTTGCCTCAATTATTAGGCTGCAAAATTTGTCCACCGTTTATAAGGTGCTGATGATGGGATCGTTAGGGCCACTTAAGCTTGGTTCAGAATTATTGTACTCGCTTATGATTAAAGAATGATTTACTATAAATTAGACATTATTCTCCCTCTTATATTCTTTTAAAAAAATGGAAATTGATTCCACCAGACTATATAAGGTTATTTTTGAGTTTTTCGATTATTAAAAATTATAAAATAAATTTTTAATTATAGAGTGTTTGTTTTGTTAAATTATTTAATTATTAAAAGTTATAAAATAGTCACTCAATTATTCATATGTTCGAAACTCAACATTTTTCTTTAAAAATTAACGGTCGCCTGAGTTGAACGTTAACCTGCTGATTGAGATATAACAAAATCATATTTTAATGATGTCTAGTGACACCGACATTACTTTCAAGCACTAATTCGATGATAAATGTTTCAAGCACTAACTCGACGATAAATGTTTCAAGCACTAACTCGACGATATAATATTAAACGGAGACTCAATCCAAAAAATACAGTTCAAACGGTTTTGGGATTAGATTTTATCATATCTCAATCAACAGGCTATCATCTAACTCAGACGACCGCCAATTTTTTAACGAAAAAGGACGAGTTTAAAACATATGAATGGTCGGATGACCATTTTATAACTTTTAATAGTCGAATGACTCAACAGAGCAACACCTCACAGTCAAAAAATCATTTTGTAATTTTAATAGTCAGTGACTTAACAAAACAACCCTCTATAATGGGATGATCATTTGTCTACTTTACCCTTATAAAAAATATTTTTTTAAAAGTTTTAAATTTAAAAAATTTACGTTTATAAGATGGAAATGTGTTATTAATGGTAAAAACGATTCTTTAAAAAGTTATTTATGTTTATTTAATAATTTGGTTAAAATACCCCCAACGTGTATAAATGATGTTGTAAGAGGATAATTGGGTAAAGAAGATGGATAAGCAATTAGAGGTGCAGCTTGAAGGAAGGGGTGCAAATGAATCCAACTTTTCCAATTAACTAGAACCAACAGACCCCGATTCCTCTTCCGAACCTAAACGTCAGTTGGATTTTCACCAGCGAATCCCCTTTTTCTTCCCATCGCTTTGTTAAGCTCAATCATGCTATTAATTACTGATTAATCATCAATGATTAGAGGTAAATCATGATGAAGAATCATTCTTCTTTAGTGACGGAACTTGATGATAGAGTTCGAGGAAGTCAACTGTCATAACGTTCTTTTTTATTAAAAGTTTTTTATGCTTTTAAAGAAAGTTCATTTACGACTTATTAATTGAAATTATTTAGTTTGCTTTGAAGTCGCAATCTACCATTAGGTTAGGTAGGTCGAATACCTAAAAATACCATTTAAAACAATCAAAAAAATCATTTGAAAGACAAAGTTCGATCTGCACTTACCAGAAACTCAATTTACAAGGCTCGGGAGTCGGTTACACGTGGGGAAGAAAAACTTATCACCACAATGCCCAAAATTAGTACCTAGTCGCTTATACATTTATGTAGAAATAAAATTGTGAATTCGAATAGAAAATTAGAGCATGATCCATTTGTTGAAGTTGAATTTATTTGCTTCAAATTAATTATCAGGTAAAATTCTTTTAATTTGAAAAGAAATCTTAGAATTTGCACATCCTCTAACGTGAAAACTATCTCATCTATTTATCGTCTATAAAAGAATATTCTCTCCTCAATCTATGATCATTAATCGAATAAAAAATGAATACTAGTAATTATATAAAATAACTTCACTATTCAAAGAAACATGTGTTACATCATTGGAAAAAGACTGAATTAATTTATTATTATAAAATAGGCTCGATTTAGTTTAAGTTCACCTATCGTTCGAACGTCATCTTGAATTACACTACTTCTATTAAGTTGAGCTTTTCATGTCCATTCTACGATAAAATGTTCTTAAAATTATTCAGATAAAAAATAAAAGTACTGACTATTGGATATTTTGTGAATTAATATAAGATAATTGAAATTTAAGCAATAATAAAGAACAAAAATTAGTAATGTACATTTATACATTTTAGAGGATGTTAAATACATACATACATACATACATACATACATACATACATACATACATACATACATACATACATACATACATACATACATACATACATACATACATACATACATACATACATACATACATACATACATACATACATACATACATACATACATACATACATACATACATACATACATACATACATACATACATACATACATACATACATACATACATACATACATACATACATACATACATACATACATACATACATACATACATACATACATACATACATACATACATACATACATACATACATACATACATACATACATACATACATACATACATACATACATACATACATACATACATACATACATACATACATACATACATACATACATACATACATACATACATACATACATACATACATACATACATACATACATACATACATACATACATACATACATACATACATACATACATACATACATACATACATACATACATACATACATACATACATACATACATACATACATACATACATACATACATACATACATACATACATACATACATACATACATACATACATACATACATACATACATACATACATACATACATACATACATACATACATACATACATACATACATACATACATACATACATACATACATACATATACATACATACATACATACATACATACATACATACATACATACATACATACATACATACATACATACATACATACATACATACATACATACATACATACATACATACATACATACATACATACATACATACATACATACATACATACATACATACATACATACATACATACATACATACATACATACATACATACATACATACATACATACATACATATATATATAAACATGCAACATGATAACATAACGTACATGAATGAAAATAAAAATTTGATATTACATAAATTGTAAAGAATAAAAGGAATAAAACAATCTTATGTTTTAATTAAATTATTTTGAAAAATAACGATTAAAATAGAACTAAATGACAAATGACCAAATCAGAATAAATACAACATAATAAAGCTTAACTACACAATAAATCCATGAAGTCTCATATTCAAAGGCAAAAGCAATGACTAAAATGACTACTAAAAATAAAGGACCTAAATCATGAATGAAACATACATTTATACACATGGAGCATAAAAGGATTAAAATGAACTAAAACATAAATTGTCAGCTAAAATAAGAGATTAAACCATTGCACATATCAAAAGAAAACATGGACTAAAATGCATTAAACCATGAATTAGCAATCGCAATAAGTGTTTATCATAAAATAAATAGCAAACATATAGTGACCAAAACATAAACATAACGAAATTCAAAACTTAGAACGAAACATGCAAAAATTATATCTAGTGATCAAATTGCAAAGTTACAAACTTGGAAGGTTCAGTGAGCTATTAACCCAAGCGCTAAAATGATCCCTGAACCACTTTCCAAACGGCGTCATTTCACGCATCACATATATGCCCGAAACAAGGCAAAAAATCAGCCCTCATCTCTTATTCGTTTTTTTTTTCTTTATTCTAAGGTGGAGAGAGAGAGAGAGAGGGCAAAAGCTCTCAACCCTCTCCCCTTTTCTCTCAAGTCTTCTGCCAAGGAAGAAAGTTGAAACTCTTCGACCACTAGAAATCGGTGGCCATGGGGAGTGAAAAATGCCTCAAAAGCTTCCTCACTCCTCTTTTCGCACTCTCTTTTTCCTTATCCCCTTCGGTGGTGTGTTTCCTCGCCTCCGATGAAGCAAGGCGGTATCGAATTAAAGAAAAGCTAAGTTGTCTATTTTTGTTTTCTTTTCCTTTTTCTTTTTTTCATCCTCCGTTTTTTTTTCTCCCTTGATTTATGCTATTGATCCTCTTTTCAATTTTTTTCTTTCTTTTGCGTGCACGAGACACACTTGTTGCAGGTACCCGTACGGTGAGGGAGCCATATCCCTGTTGCGGTAGAGGGAGGGAGGCTTGTCCTCTACCTTGACAATGTCAAAGGACAAGAATGAGGTATGGCGTTAAATAGGCTTGCGTGTCGAGATCTGGCAGTGATAGTGCATAATGTTAGGGGGAAACCTTAATTTGCATCACAGATCTGGACTATTGGATGGGTCCAGATCGTGTGACTGAGGATGAGTGGTGCTGAAGGGTTTACTATAACCCTAACTGTTGACGCACATGGGTCGTTGGATCTCCTACAGATCCAATGAGTGATGGTGAGCGGCGCCAAATACCAAAGGTTAAAACCTTAGTCGAGTTTAGGCTTATAAGCGGGTTTCTTTCTGGGCCTGTTGTTCTGATGGGTTATACATGCGGGCATGTTTTCTTCTGGGTCCAAACCAAACAACCTGCTTCAACTTGTGTATTTGATATGTAAAATAATAAAAGAGTATTTTATTAATGTATTAATTATGCATTTAACTTTTAGTCAAGCTGAAACTTAAAATAAATACATATGCAAGCACACATAATAATTGTAACCCTCAATTATTAATAATTATAATACACACCATGCTATATTCATTACAACAAAACCC